AAGAAAAGAAAAAAAGAAAGAGAAAGAGAGAAAGGGAAAGAGAGAAGGAGGGAGGAGGGAAGGGAGGAAGGAGAAAGAAGGAAAGGAGGGAGGAAGGGAGTGAGGGAGGAAGGGGAGAGAGGGAGAAAGAATACAACACATTGTGAAATGATCACAAATGTAAAAGTTTAGGGACAGTTTGGATCAATGCAGAGTAAGAAAAATCTGTTAGATTAAATTTAGTGGGAATCGTGCTAGCTCAGCCATCTGGGTTTTTTCTCTCTCTTTATCTATGACTAGGCTCTTTTACAACTCTGTAGAGATAGAAGTTAATTTGGAGAAAACCAGATAGTAATTGAATTCATTTTCTATTGCTATGAAACAAATTACCACAAATTTAGTGGCTTAAACCAATATCCATTTAGTCTCTCTCAGTTTCAGAGAGGTCCTAGCCATAGGTCCCTCAGGTCTTAATCACAGACCTTCACAACATGTCAGATTACTTCTTCAAAGCCCGCAGGAGGATCTCTCTCCGGGCTGCCTGTCACAGGAGTGACTACCCCATCACCTTTCCAATAAAACGTAACCTAATCAAGGGAGAGACTATCCCATCATAGGTCTTGCTCAAGAAGGTATGTGAGGGATGAGGGTTATATAGGGCATGTACACCAGGAAGGCAGTAATCTTGGAGGTTGCATCTTAGAAATCTGCCTACCACAGCAATGCAAATAATTTCTGTCCATAGAAATGCAAATTGTGTCCAATGGAATGCCACTAATTATACTCTGTGGATGTTAACAATTTGCTAATTTGCATCCATTTGTAAATTCATTTTAGCATTCATAATTCTCTTTTAAGCATGTGTAATGCCTTACCAGTTCCTTCATTAATGAGTGAAATAAAATCTTTGAGGTGTGTTCATTTATATTTGTGTAAGAGTTATGATTACATCCTCTTTTAAAATGTATCCTTCAATGACGGTGAATAAGTTGAAGTAGTGGCATATGCTGGGCCAATGTATACATGGGTCATCTGTCTGTCAGTTCACTCATAAAGATGGATTTTTCCACTCACATCGAATCATGCAGCCATCCTGGGCACTGATTTGCTCAGCGTCCATCTGATCACTCATGCACACCACACTGTACATCTTTGCAGCCTGGCTCTCTGAAAAGGCACAGCTGTCTAATGAGATGATCAGGGGTGTACGAGCTGAAAGTGGCCTTCTGGCTTGCTGGAGACATGGTGGTGGCTCTGCGTCCAAGGGCAAAGCCATGGGAGGAATATAAAGGAATCAAATGGTGTGTGGGACTCAGCGTCCTACTTAGAAAATAGATACCCAATTCTTGCAATATCTCTCTCCCCAGGTGAAAAGTGCTGGGAAATCGCTACTTTTAAGAGTCAACTTAGCTTTTTAAAAAAGTAATATTTCCCCTAAGCCTTTTCCAATCCCTCCTGAGCTTGAATTAATCCTTCCCTTTCTTCTATACACATAACACTTTGTAAGTGCATCTCTACTGGCACTGTCCTCACTTTAATTAAATCAATCTCTCTCTCACTCTCTCTCTCAAATTTTCTTCGCAGGCAGAAACCATGTCTTCTTAACTTTGAATCTCTTGCATGGCACAAGAAGGGCACTCAGTCAATGAAGCTGTTGGCTATCATGCCCCTGTCACATCCTGTACTGGATGCCTCCTTTTATTCTGCCAACCATGTGAGAGAGCCATTATTTTCCTATGTCCAGATGAGGATAGAGGCTCAGAAAAGGAAGGTATTCACCCAAAGTTAGACAATTAGTAGACAATTCAACCTTAAAATCTGTCCTCTTTACTACCATATTGCATAACAAACACTGGTTGAATTTATTCCAAAAATAAAAAATAAAAAATGTAATTTTTGTCTAATATTGAATGGAAAGTCAAATTAGCCAAAACACTCAAGTGTTCTTTTCCACTGAATTTTGCATCTTTCATATCTCATGTTCTTCCAGTCCTGGCAATCTTCTCTTACTTTGCAAGGGGATTGGGTTGTAATTTAAAAGACAAAATAATGCATTAGTCCTGTTGTTAAATCTGATAGATTATTTAAGTTTCTACACAATCTCTGTGTGTTTAAAATCCTTTTTGTTTTAAAATTACTGATGTGAACTACAGTTATGTAGAATGTCACTTTCGAGGGAAACTGGGTAAAGGGTACATATTTTATATATTACATATATGTGTGTATTATTTTTACAACTCTATTACTTGTATGTTTTATTTTATCTCTGTATTACTTTTATAACTGCATATAACTCTGCAGTTATCTCAAAATAAACAATTTCTTAAAAGCTGATTGTATTAATTCATTCCAGTTTTTTTTTTTAAGACTTTATTCATTTATTTGAGAGAGAGAGCAAGAGAGAGCCAGAACAGTGGGGAGGAGCAGAGGGAGAGGAAGAAGCAGACTCCCTGCTGAGCAGGGAGCCTGACTTGGGGCTTGATCCCAGGACCCTGAGATCATGACCTGAGTTGAAGGCAATTCATTTCAGTTTTAAGACACTATCAATGAAGGGATACCATGTACTTTTCTAAAGTCTTCCTTTGTGTATATGTGCATGCTCACCGGGAGAGATTATCTCAGCTTTGAAAGATGTTTTCAGTCTTTCAGAGAGTTATATGCATGAGAATGTGTTTAAAAACTGTTTTAGATGCCACCATTTGGAAATATAAATATAATATACATATATTTTTTCGTTGTTACAAGAATATTTGGTATTTGAACATTTGTTTGACAAAGGTAATAGCCAACTGAAATATAAGTTTAAAGGTACAAAAAATAAATGGGTGTAAATTGAAATACTCGGTTGAACCTCATAGAATTTCACTGGGACAAAGACACAAATTACATTTTTCTAGGTCTCTTTATTTACAAAGTGAGAAGGTATTTAAATTTGGTAATCTAAGGCCTCAGAAACTAAATACTGAATTGAATTCCCAAATCACTGCCAAGTAAGTACCCACATTTTTCTCTCCAAAAAGAAAGAGAGTTATTCCTCACCATAGTTTTATCTGTAGCTTAACTTCAGGCATTAGTAAGAATACTGTTTCAGCTATTTAAAAAAAAAAAAAATGTATTTGGCTGGAAAATACTTTCCATGACTACTATTGGTCTAGACCCTGTTCAAATTAATGGCTCCAAAATTTAAAAACTTCCGGGCCCCAGATTATTTAAAATTTATTCTGAATTCTGAAGAGTAGATTATTTTAATCCTTGATAAATGTTTCTCTTCCATTACTTTGAGAAATAATCTCCTATGAATGAACTCAAAATATTGTCTAGTCTATTTTTTAAGATAATTCACCCTTTGTTCTCTCCAGAGTTTCTCAAATCTCTTGGGCAACTTTTAACTGAAAGTACAAGTTCACATCATTCAGAACTAGAGAAATAAGGAGCTTTTATTCGGGGCTAGAGAAATAAACAGCTTTCAAAAACCTTTGCACTGTTCCACTTTACAGAGAAGAGTGGAAAGCTATTTACATTTTCCATTGTTCTATCATCCTTTGGCCTTTGTCTTCATCAGTGGGATGCAACATGAGCCATGCTATGAGTATAGCAATGGCCCTTCACTGGAAACTCTTAAGCACAATTTACTTTATAACACTACTGCTTGCAGCACATTACAAATTACTGGAGCCTACAGCTGCTGGTTTGTTCATACTGTGCATCCTATTCCAGACTCCAGTCCATACCCATCATCTTTTCTGCCTGACAGAGGATGTTGCCTAAACAGTAGAGGGAAATGACTCAACAAAGGGTTTTAAGAACATCTGTGACACAGGACCAAAATGCTGACTATGGTTTCTTCCTTTCTGTGTCTCAGATAGCATTTCATAACAATCCAAGACAAAAAGAAATAGTTATTGCCTTGGGATTATAAAGATCAATCCAAATCCACCAGACTAATGGATATGTATATCCAGTTGGGTAGAGGCTGCTATTATCCAGAACTCCCAAAATGATCATTGGAAAAAGTTGGCTTAAGACAGTTCGATAATGATCATAAACTCTCAATTTGCCCTTTTCTTCTTGAAAGATTGAATAATGGACCTCTCTCAATCAGTACATTGGAAAGTTCTTAAAAATTTATATTCAATAGGGGCCAGTCTGATGGACAGATAGGAAACAATACAGCAAACTCACTTTCTTGATATTTTCAGTTATGAAGATATTATTTTAAGAATGCAGATAAAATTATCTGCCAAGATCATCAAAAAGAGATTTTCTAGGAAGTCACACAGTTTATGGGAAAATTCCAATATGCTAATAACAGATAAAAAAATTATATTAATTAATACTTAAAATTTAAGCACATTAAAGGTTTTGGGTTATTTATATTTTCCTAAAATACATATACTTTTCTGATAAATTAAACAATTAAACCAAATGAAAATTCATATTCATAAATTTATCTCTCGGAGACATTTCAGATCAATCAGTATCTGTTCTTTACTCTAAATAGTAACCCAAATATTTCCTCTGGTAGGTGCCTGTCCTGCAATTACCTGTACTGTTTTCTTGTGTCATGCCCAACTGCATTGGTCTCCCAGATTTTGGTAGCCAGAACTCTAACGGTATTCAGAAACAGAATAAAATTGAGCTGAAAGAGAAGGTAATATTACAAAGCATTATTAAGGTAGCCTTCAAGATTTTTATAAAAATGTATATAATTGAACTTCTTTGTATTCCAAAACTGAAAATTACCTATTCCACAAATGTGAATGAGGGACTCTGAGATAAGGTATTAGACAGCTAGTGATTCTTGAGTTGCCCTCATGAAAACATAGAGATAAAAAGTTTCAACAGCACTGGAAACTAGAAACACCAGAGGATTGATCTGTCAGAATCCATGGGGAATTTCCAAACCAAAGTTCAGATAAAGTCCTGTGGCAGACTGGCAGGATAAAGGATAATACTTATTATATAAATATAACCAACTGCCCTTTTTGAAATGAATTCCCAGCTCCTGTATCTATTTTAGGGAGAGGAATAATAGAGTTGTTTGGGGGACGCTGTCCCTCTTATGACATATGAAAAGTATTAGGTGAAGTATAAGGTTTTTTTGAAAAAGCAAATGGTGGGAGGAGATGGATGAAATAGATACAGGGCATTAAGAACACACTTATCGTGATGAGCACTGAGTAACATAAGAATTGTTAAACCATTATGTTGTACACCTGAAACTAATATTAACACTGTATGTTAATTATACTTCAATTTAAAAAAAATTTTTAAACACTTCTCAGATACATACACACACAAACAAGATGTTGTATGAGAAAAGGCCCCCAGTGCAAGCAATTAGATTGAATTTTAAATATTACAGGTGTGTGCACCCCCGGGGACAATCAAGTTCTGGTTTTAAAAACGGGGAGAAGGTGTTGGTAGGATAAGCCTTTTTATGTCTGAGGGCGTCAAGGGAAGTGAAGAGATCAAAAATGAAGAAAAAGAAAAGATCTCCAGATCCAGGGTCATAAGGAAGGAGAAGCCTGAACCCCTGGAGTCCCTTTATTCAGGAAGATGCCTGCAGTCCAGAAAATGCTACTACTTAGGAATAATGGAAAAGAAGATTGTCAAGAGTAGGTTTGTGTCAGTGGGAGAGTAATAGCAGGAAGAGAAGAACCATCAAGTTCTGCATTCTTGGAAACAAATCATCTTGTAGTGTTTTCAACCATTTCTGGAATTTAGAGAATTGGGGTAATTCATGTGCCCCACTCCCTGATACAGATGATCAACTGGATCAGCCCTTAACCCCTGCCACCTCCATTGCCATCCTACCACTGACTATGCTGTAGGAACCTCTCACCCCTCACTAATTTCACAGCTTTCTATAGGAACCAGAGGCTGAGTCATGAGTCCCATACCTGGGAGGAAGGACAGAAGTGTGCTGTGAGCTGGTAGAAGAAGGATTCTTCAGGCTAGTAAGAGCTGCCATTTATTGAGCACTCAAGTTTAACTCACATGAATATGGGAGAAGCATTTTTATGTCCCTTTATTATGGATGAAGAAACGCCAGCTCAAAGAGATCAAGTGATTTGACCTATGCTACCCAGCTATTAGGGGAATCTGAACCATGTCTATGTGGGTCTGTACTGTGAATTCTTAACCACCACCTTACACCTTCTCTTCAGGAGGATAAAAAGATGCAAAACATGAGAGCTGAGGATCTCCATTCATCCTCACCCACTGCAACACCTGGCTCAAGACGCAGAATATTTTTCAATAAGAGGGTGAGAGCTGCTCACAGATGTCACATGAGTGCTTCTTTTTGAATGACCACTTATGCCGTGCCCCGTTAATTCCACTCTCCCTACGACCACAGCCCCCAGCAACACGGTGCAGCTGGGAGTGAAAATGGTGGAAAGCGATGCTGTGTAATTACTGTGCAAGGGACAAAGGAGTAGGCGCTGAGGCTGGCAGCGCCGTGGGAGCAGTGCCAGCTTGGGAATGTCACTGGTCAGTTCCTATCCCTGGAAAAGGAAGAATTAGAGATGGCTTCAGACAGGCCAACCCTGAACTCTATCCCTATTAAAAAGGCCGTGACCGGGAACTCTGTTCTCAGGCCAGTAGACCAAATAAATACTGAAAACTGGCAGAAATTTGACTAAAGAAGATACACACATCCAATACATCAGTTTAATAACTAAGAAGATGCATTTAAGGACAATGAAGTGGATTATGGAAAGAATTAAGAAAAACAAAGATTGGGTAAAACTTGCTGCCTTAGGGGCACCCAGGTGGCTCAGTCGGTTAAGCGTCTGCCTTCAGCTCAGGTCATGATCTCAGGGTCCTGGGATCAAGTCCCGTGTGGGGCTCCCTGCACAGGGGAGAGCCTGCTTCTCCCTCTGCCGCTCCCCCTGCTCTCTCTCTCTGTGTCAAATAAATAAATAAATCTTAAAAAAAAAAAAAAAAAACCTTGCTGCCTTAAAAGATCAGTTAACAAAATATACCCATATACATACATACTGATAGCTCCAACCCCAGTTGGGTAAAATTCCAAGTAATTACCCTGAATAATTTAGAGAAGTATAGAATAAAGGTTAATTAGGAACTAAGTTATCGACTACTTGTTCACTATTCTAAGTGTATGACATGAATTGACTCTCAGTCTTCACAACAGTTCAATGAGATAGGCACATCATCGTCCCCATTTTGTGGGTTAGGAACCTGAGTAACAGCTTCCACTCATTATTCCTGGTCATATAGCCAGCAAGTGGCAGAGCTCTGAGGCCCATGCAGCCTGGATGATACGCAGCGGGGACTCAACCACAGCACCATGCTGCCCATAAAAGAGAGTTGAGTGATAGTAGATTGAGATGGAGACAGAAATTTCTTTTTTATTTTTAAAGATTTTATTTATCTACTTGACAGAGACAGAGACAGCGAGAGAGGGAACACAAGCAGGGGGAGTGGCAGAGGGAGAAGCAGGCTTCCTGCAGAGCAGGGAGCCCCATGCAGGGCTCGATCCCAGGACCCTGGGATCATGACCTGAGCTGAAGGCAGACGCTTAACGACTGAGCCACCCAGGCGCCCAAGACAGAAATTTCTTAAAGAGCAGGATGGATTAAGAAAAGATTGTTAAGAATCTAAAATATGATCAAGTTTTAAAATCAATATTAGAAACAGCAAACAGTAGATCTAACAAAGCAGAACACATTCAGCAATGTGGAAGACCACTGAAGACTCTTCCCAAATGGGGGGATAAGGAACAAAGACACATATGATGAGGGGAGAGATGCTTACATGGACGACATGGAATTGAGAGTCATCATGCAGATTTATTTCTCTCTCTGTAGAAAAGATTATGATAAATTGAACAATAAAAAATGTAAGAGAAGAAAATAAAAATGTAAGAGAAGAAAATTCCTGTGCTAAAGAAAGATCTGAGCCTGTATAAATGACATTATACACTGGGCAAATGGAGTGAAAAAGAACAAGACCAAGTGGAAACCTCTAGTGAGATTTTTTAAATTTCATTTTAAAAAAGATGTAGAAATAATTCTAAGAGAAAATTATTTAGAGAGTCCTTGTATCTCTCATGTGAACTTCCTCTAAAATTTTGCTTAAAGGTCTACTTCAGGCAAAGTACAGATAAAACGAAGAAGAAACTGAGAGGTGAATAAAATGACCACTCATAAGCATTAAAACCAGTCAGACATCAAACAAATTTTATGCAAATATGGTTTTTAAATAATGCAAATATAAACATTAGATTCTTCCTCAATTAAAAATTTAAAGATGTACTCAAAGTGAACCACAGATGAATTGAAACAAAGAACTCCAAATTTCAGCCTTGAAACCTCTGGCCCCTCAGGCTACCTCAGAGACTTTGTTCCTAGAGTCCCCTTTGCCTGGATCATTCTTCCCCTCCCTCCGCTCTCCCTTCCTTACTAGGTTAGCTCATTCCTAGGTTTCAGGTTGAATGTCAGCTTTTCTCAGAAATTGTTCCAGCCCCACTACAGCACTTGTCACATGTGTTTGCCTCACCCACTCTGCTTAAGCTTCAGGAGAATTGGTGTCTATCTCCTGACTGTATCATGGGCCACTGTCTCACACAGCACCTGCAATGTTCTTGGTATTTAATCAAGATTTGTTAAATGAGTGAATGGATAACTGATTGAATGAGATATGCACTCTCCAAACCCTATAGAAGAATTTTTAAAAGTCATCCTCAAATCAACATCAACATGTTACAGGTGAATAACAAATTGTTATATTTGCAGATATTTATTTTCAGAACAAAAATTAATGTTTTATGACTCTAGTTCTCTTAAACATAGTTTTAACACATATGAACAAAACACAGATAACAGTGCAATAATTTTAGATTCTATGGTTCCAAAATCAAGTGATTTCTCCTAAATTTATACTGAAGTCTATGATTATGTCTAAAATTCAATTCTCTTGATAGAACTTCTTCAAATTAGAACCCATAAATGCTTATCCTCTACAAACTCTTTCCCATATTGCTTAGAAATTCTGATCACATTTTATCAGATTTTACTCTCAGATACACAAAATTCCAATTAATAGAATTTCTGTTATTCTAATATCCAAAGCCAGAATTAAGTGAGGGATCCAACTTATATTTAAAAGTTTTGGTGGAGTGCCTAGGTGGCTCAGTTGGGTAAACGTCCAACTCTTTGATTTCAGCTCAGGTCATGATCTCAGGGTCATGAGATCGAGCCCTGCACTGGGCTCTGTGCTTAGCAAGGAATCTGCTTGAGATTCTCTCTAGCCCTCTCCCTCTGTTCCCCCCCCACAAACACACACACATACACACTCACGCTTGCTCGCTCACTCTCTCTAAAATAAATAAATAAATAAATCTTTAAAAAATTAAAATTAAAGTATTGGCAAATAATTTTTGATAGCATATATGGAACATATCTATTTACATAAAACCATGCTACATATAATGCAAGTCTGAAAAACAAATATTTTATCCAAAGTTAACATACAAAAAACTATAAATATTACCTTAAAAATGGAAAGATCTTTTTCCCATAAATTCAAGAAACAATCTTGACATGTTTTGGAGTACCAGTGAAAAGAACACGGTCAAAAAATGTGGTTATAGTCTTATTTTGTCACACTATCTGTGTGGGCTTTAGTTTCCTTCTCTAGAAATGAAAAGGTTGCATGAAACAGACTCAGAGGTTCTGTAATCATACCGAACTTTGCTTTGTGCTCTTCTTTCACCTCTTCCCTCTTACCAGTTCCCCAGGGCATCTACTTTATATGCGGGCTTTATTTTTTCAACAAGTATTTATTGAGTGGCCACTATGTGCCAGGAAGCTTGCCAGGCACTAGAAATACAGAAGTTTAGGAAAAATATGGTTCTTGTTCACATAAACCTTACAGCTTAGTGCACAAGATGGACATTCAACAATCAGAAGTCTTATACATTGTGATGATCTTGAGAAGGAAAAACCTCACCTTGCTCTTTGGGTTATAACAGGTGACCTAATTTAGATTGGAGGCATCAAGGAGGCCACATGAAAAAGTTGCATTTAAACTGAGGAATAGAAGGAAGCTCATCCCAGGCTTCCGAGGGTACAGCACAGAATATGGAATAGCCCTGAGGAGGCAGAGGTGGCCAGGTTCAAGGAACTGAAAGGAAAACAACACGGCTGAGGTATTGCATGTAAAGGGTGTAGGCACGAGTGACAGGGTCTTCCCTAGACCATTGGGGATGCTGGATTTTATTTTATGTGCAAGGAGTTCATTGGATAGGGACACTGACCCTGAAGTTAGAATACCACTCCACCATTCACTAGCTCTGTGATCTTGAGCAGTTTCTTCATTTAGAAGATTAGATAAATCTCTGTAAATAAAGCACTAGGAACAGTGCCCACCGCAGGGCACTATGCAGTGTTTATTGTTATTATTTGCATCATCCCTTCTGGCTTCAGGACACTGAACAGCTGAGAGGAAGGAGCACCTCACTCAAAACACTAGGATGGGTTTTGGGGCACATCTCTTCCTTTACACCCTGGTTCTACAGTAAAGTGAGCGCATCTTAAAGGGAACTGTGATAACTGAATTGTTATACTAAAACAAAAAGGTAACTCAGTGAACAGAAAGGTGCTCTTGAATCTTCTCTGATTTTTTTTAAAAAGATTTTTTTTAATTTATTTTAGAAAGAGAGGGAGCACATATGGGGGGAGGGAGAGAGGGAGAAAATCTCAAGCAGAATCCCCACTGAGCACAGAGCCCCAGAGGGCTCAATCTCACAACCCTGAGATCATGACTATGATTTTTGAAATTAAATGGATGTTGTGATATTGGAAATACACTTAAGAATTCTTGTTTTGGAGGTGTCATCATTTAACTCAAGAAGATGAAAATGGCTTCCATCTAAGTTTTCTTTAAAATGCATATGCATTGAGTATACCATCATTTCTAGCTCTCTTTCCCCTTTCCCCAACAGGGAATCTTCTAGAACCTCTATAATCACCAAACTTTACTGTTTTTCTTTGCAATTTAGAAACCTCAGCAAATAAACTTCTCATCCATGTTGACAACGTGAGTAACTAAGATCTGCAAACAAAAAACCAAAGCCTTGGTTAAAAATCAACTGTTTCAATGGAGGATGTCCTGTGATTTACTTTTGTCCATTGTCCTTTGCTTCAATTCTTTTTTTTTTTTAAGATTTTATTTATTTATCAGACAGAGAGAGACAGAGGCAGGCAGAGGGAAGAGCAGACTCCTTGCTGAGCAAGGAGCCCAATGTGGGACTCAATCCCAGGACCGTGGGATCATGACCTGATCCTTTGCTTCAATTCTTAATTTTGCAAGGATCTCTTGGAGTTTTAATGTCTTTTCTTTTCATCAAATGAAAACTCAAACTTAATGTTCTTAAATTTGCCTACATTTTCATATAATATTTAATTATCTCTTATCTCTTATTTCACGATTCCAGTACAAGGCACTGAGGACACAAAAAAGTAATAAGACCTGAGTCATCCCCTTAAAAAGAGGATGGTAAGCGATGCACAAGCAAACACAGTGGAGGAGGAACTCGGAGGAAAGAAAATGAAAGGCTGGGAAGCACAGATGAGGATAAAATATCAGTGGATAAAAGGGAAATCAGAGTAGTAAACACCAGACACTACTTTATAAAGTGAATTTGTATCTTTAAGTTCATTGATGTTCCCCAGGGATACAGTTTATCAATAGATGGTTTAATGGGATGGTTTATCACCAGACTAAAATAGAAATACTTCATTAAAATTAAAGTGATAAGAGTTCATAAATTTAAGTCATTCATTCATTTATCCACTGTCCATTTCCAGCTTCTCCTAGGACATTGAAATGGGGTCTAATTTGCTAACAGGCTGTTTTAGCAAGGATACAAACTGGCTTCTCTGAAAGTGTTCTACATTTTATTTCCCCCTATAAACATTTACTTTTGAAATGAAGAGTCCTTTTCAAGCTTCTCTATTTCTCTTTCTGTGTTTTTCCTATGAGATAAATAAGGTTTTCTCTGATTCTGGATAGATCCTACAAAACCTCAGTCCCATTAATAGCTGTCCTTCTGCCATCAAGCATGACAACATAATGACAAACCCAGTGATGCCTTATGCTACAGAAAACAAAATGAGAAATGTGAGAAATTGGAGAACAAAGACCAAGAAAAAATTTAGTTAAAAATTGTGCTGCTGCATTACTTTTAAGGGATTTAACAGTTAATATGGGAACATAAGTCCTCTTTCTAAGATGTTTATAATCTTGAATTAATACAAGTATAATTTCTTCATCAAATCATGGAGAAGCTAATGAGATAAAACCTTCAAGGGAAGTCAAGAATAAACATTTTGGGGGGTTGTGTTAGACACAAAGAAGTGTAACTTTGTTTTCTTTCACAATACACATGTAATATGTAGGTGAAATACTACAGACATAAAAGGTCCTCGCAGCATGCATTGTTTACTCCAGTCTTTTTCCCATGATCTATCAGACAGTATTCTGCGGGATATGTTTCCATATGGAATCAGCTTAACTCCTTGGGGACGGCATGCCAAGTAAGAGCTTTAGTCAATGCTTTATAATGAATCATACTATCATTTTTCACTCTCTTAGTAATTCCTCTGTTCTCTGGCTATTTGCCTCCTCCTCCTGACCTACTACCAAGTGATCAGAACCTTAAAGTGGAGCTCCAACATAATGGATGTAAAGGGGGAAGAGTTTTAGGACCTTCCAGCTGCTTGAACATGTACATGTTCACAGATACTTTGAAGCCCCGGAACTGAACCCATATGCTAGCTCATTAAAGGGAGGGTATGTGCTTTCTGCATGGATCTCAGTGTCAGCCATAAATATGGATATGATCCCCAGCCCAGACTCTCCTAACAGCTATTGCTGTAATGTGAGTCTACTAAACCTTTGTAGGACAAAGTAAGAGGCACACTTTCTCTTGGTTTTAGCAGCAGTTTAATTATGCATCCTTTTTCTTTCTTTCCATGACACAGGGTTTTAACACTTACCCCAACAGCTGCTAAGATTGGGGCTTGGTAAATCCACTTGATGTTTCCAGCACTAAGTTCCCAGCATCTGAGACATGAAAAAAACTTTCATGAATAAATTGGCAAAGCAAATAGGCAGTGAGAAAGTAGCATTTTAAGTTCTACTGAACATTCCAGTCCCAAGCTTTTGATTAAAAAATAAGTAGACAGGGGCGCCTGGGTGGCTCAGTTGGTTAAGCGACTGCCTTCGGCTCAGGTCATGATCCTGGAGTCCCGGGATCGAGTCCCACATCAGGCTCCCTGCTCAGCGGGGGGTCTGCTTCTCCTTCTGACCCTCTTCCCTCTTCCCTCTCATGCTCTCTGTCTCTCATTCTCTCTCTCTCAAATAAATAAAATTAAAAAAAAAAAAAATAAGTAGACAAAAACAAATCTCATAAGACACTCAAACCAGTAAAAAAAAAAAAAAAAAAATGTGTAATGGGTCCTGGTTTCTGTACTATTAACTATAGAGTATTATAAATATTGTTTATTTTATAGCAATAAGATTCAAAACCACATTTCCAGAGCCACAAAAAATTACTGTCTTTTAAATGTGGTGCACATGGGGGCGCCTGAGTGGCTCAGTTGGTTGAGAGTCCGACTCTTGGTTTTGGCTTAGAGTTGTGGGATAGATCCCCATGTCAGGCTCCACGCTCAGTGGGGAGTCCGCTTCACCTGTCCCTCTCCCTCAGCCTGTCCCCTCCATTCTCTCTCTCTCTCTCTAAGATAATCCTAAATAAATAAATAAATAAATAAATAAATAAATGTGGTGCACCTGATACTTCATTTTTCTTATCACTGGAAAGATAAAGTCCTCTTACTTCCAGAAGTTCTAGCAATTTTATATTACACCTCCACATACTGGAGAATACTGACAATAATGCAAATCATTCTTATCCATCAAAATGCAATAGAAAGCTGACAGTAATGCAAATGATTCCTGCTGGTAGAAATGCAACAGAAAACTAGATGCAAATGATTTTTGTGCATAGAAATGAAAACTAGTTGTGTTCAGTGGAATGTGATTGATCATTGCCTTCAGAATACTGAATTGTTGCATGTATTTATAAATTTATTTCAATATTCATTTTGCTAAATACAGGCATGTGATTTAGTTCTTCTTTGAACAAGTTATAACCTCTTACTGCTTCCCTCCATAATTAGTGAGTTAAAAAATCTTTGACAAGTGCTCATTTTATATCTGCATAAAATCCGTGATTTTATCTTTAACTTTAAAAGTTCATTTTTAGCAGTACTTAATAAAAACACTATATAATTTACCTATTTGTTATGTTTATCTTCTGCTTCACTCCCACCCCAGCTAGAATTTAGTTTCTACATGAACAGGGATCATTGTTATTTTCTGATGTATTATAAGTGCCTAGAATAATACAGAACATACAGGGAGTCAACAAGTATTTGTTGGATTGAACTGAATTCAAAATAAGTTTGATTCAATCTCACTCATACTGGTTTGGAACAGTGTTGAGAAAAACTAGTTCCACTTGAAACTTTAATGTAGCACTTTAAGCAGTTTTTATACATTAAAGATCCATAAATAAAAGCCTCAGTTTCTTTCTCCTTAGACAAAACCTAGCATTGATTGTGGGGACAATAAATGAAATTTTATAAAGAAATTTTAGGGATGGGGCGCCTGGGTGGCTCAGTCGTTAAGCATCTGCCTTCGGCTCAGGTCATGACCCCAGGATTCTGGGATCGAGCCCCACATGGAGCTCCTTGCTCCACAGGAAGCCTGCTTCTCCCTCCCCTACTCCCCCTGCTTGTGTTCCCTCTCTCACTGTGTCTCTCTCTGTCAAATAAATAAATAAAAATCTTTTTTAAAAAAAGACATTTTAGGGATATAATGATAATTACTTAATTTTAGATGATAAATTTATCAATAAGTTACTTTTAAATTAATGAACAAATTCTGGATAGTAAAAAGCTATTTCAGCTATTCCTTGAAGGTAGAACATTTTCAGTACATACGTAATGACTATATTACTTTTACATTTTAATATTTTTATGTAGGCAATACATTCTCATTTCAAAAATCAAACTGTATAAAAAGACAGCCATTGAGACATCTCAGTCCTTCCCATGTTCCTATCTTCCTCTGCCCCTGCCTCTCTCCTTCTAGGTAACATCTTTTATTACTTTATTTTACATGCTTCCAGTGTTTTCTTATGCATATACAGATACAGATATTATAATCTTATTTTCCCTTACCCTTCAAAAAAATGCAATGTATACTCTTTTCTGCAACTGGCTCTTTCCTTTTAACTGTATATTTTTTATTTCTCTCCATATCAGTACCAAGACTGCTCACTACACAGCATTCCATTGGAAGGATGTACCACAGTTGAATCAACTAGACCTCAAGACCAAAGTGTAATTCCGGCCCCACCACATTGAAATCTGCAAAGTCAATGGACTTGAAGTTTGCATAACATGGAAATATCAAAGACGGGAAAGTTTGCATTTGCACATTATTAAACATTTCCTGGCATTATTTGCACGCGTCTATTCTTCACATTATTCAACCAGACAAGAAGGATAAAAGAGTGTTCCTGAGTTGTGCAGAACATCTATCACACTACCCTAAAAAGGTTTTCTACTATATGGAAAGTGGCATATTTTACTGTATGAATATAAATTGAATACAGATTCACTAGCTACGAGACTCCTGGATTCTGTAAATTTTCTTTTTGCTTTTACATTTGGTAGTATCTTCACAATCTTCTTTCTTTGCCTCAGTAACAATTCATCATTGTGTCTCCTAACACACTGCAACTCAATTGCCCAATTCCAGCTCTGCAAAATACTTCGGAAATAGGTCAAAGTCAGCTACCTCTAAAAACTGGAAAAACTTGCCTTTGATAGTTTTCAATGTCAAAGCTTCAAATTTGCACTTTGATATGAAAGGCAACTGAGATTTCAGATTCTTTTTTTAAGAAAATGCTATTAATCCTTGTTTTTCATTAATTCTTCCCTGTCCCAGCTCACACTGTGTTTGTTAACAAGGCTCAGAAACTACCGTCTATTCAGACTTTGTAAATGAAATTTTAATGCTCTAGAAAATGGAGAAATGAATGTCAGTAAAAATGCAGTTGTGAAAGTTGAGGATGAGGCACAGAGGTCTGCCTAGAAAATAGAACTTTCTACAGCCAGGATTAGGAATAGGAAATGCATTATTCTGCAGGAGAGATCCAGGGAAATGAACACTGCATTGTGTCCATAATTTACAATCTGAGAAGAGGAAGTACAGAAGCCCTGAGAGCCATGCAGATTTCCTAGAAATGACAGAGGCTATCTTTTCTTGGTCTTTTGTATTACGGGACCCACCTTTCCTGCTGGCATTCCATTTCCTTTGCATGAGCAGGGAGAAGGTGATAAGGTATCATATAGGGTGTTTTGTTTTTGCAAGTAAAAAGAAAGAGAAACAAAAATACTCACTTTTTAGGCCAATTTGTCCAATCGAAACTATTCAACTTTCTTACCTTACCTTAGTCAAATGACTTGATAGAATTTTAGAACTGTAAGACTTCCTTTGTATATTTAATAGCATTAAGAGTGTCTTCCAAAGCTGGATCTGATTTGCTTAACTCTAAATGGCCAAGATGCAGAGAAAATCAGATTTCAGGCTTTGAAAGGTCAATTCAGAAAAAGAAGAATCTCAAATGTAAGCGATAGGACAGAGACCCCAAATTCCTTTGGAGATGCTCCAAGCTCTCTCTCTACCTGAACTTTGTGACAGAGGACTATATGTAGGTCAGATTACTATCAAGAAAACCCTCAAAAACTTTCTATCTAGAGACAAGCTGAATTCCATGAAAAATCAAATTAGGCAATTTTGAAATCATGCCATGTATGTGATAACATAGTTTTATTTTGTATGCAAAATAAATATAAAATGATCCCTTAACCCAATTATCATGCTCAGATCAGGACACTATAGAATTCAAGATTTTATTCTGAGTTTGTAAGAATAAATGTTTTGTACAGAGGAGTCACATGATCTAACATTTAATTTTTTTACATTAATTCAACTGTTTTAGAGCAATATTCAATGTCAATTGCATTTTTTAAATATTATGTAGCAAAAGATTCTTTGCCTCAAAAATAATAAACTTTTTTCCTTGAAAAATAATAATTTTTTCCTTGAAAATACATATGACTATTAATGGTTTATGATTTAGTTTATAATTTTCAAGAAATAATACAAGATAACTAAGAAAACTAATTATCTAATTCAATATAAAATGCATTGTGAATATACTTGCTTGCATTCTGTGCTCAAGGCTTGGAATGTCTGTTGAATGGATGAATGAATCAAAATTACTACAGGCTATGAAGATGCAACCTGGTATCTCTGGGTCTCATTTTATTCATCTCTCAAATGAGGGGATTAAACCAAAAAATGCCTTAGAATTTACCTTCTCTAAAATTTCAAATCTAAGTTATATGGTTCCCCATCTCAGGGTAAAATCATTTAGCATTATCTAGTACCTCTTTACTGACTCAACCCACCCCCCAAGAAATCAAATAGCAGACACTCTAAGTCTTTGACATTTCCAGTATCATTGTGCACATATAGCAATGATGACAATTGATAACATTAACCCTAAATTATTAACATAATGTTTGTATAGAAGTTGGAGTTTATAAAGTCTTTTCATAAATGGGCTCTTACCTGATTTTCAAACCTACCCCCTGCAGACTCAGTCTTACTCACAGCCACAAATGTTCTCATTTTACAAATGGGAAGGCTGAGAGACTGAGGGAAACTGCCACAATTAACGAACGGATGAGGAAATACATTTCCTAGTAACTCACAGCTTGCACTGAGTCAAACTTTATCTTTGCTCAGTAGACCCTTAGCAAACAGAGGAAAGTGGCAAAATAGATCCGTAAGAACTGAACAGCAAGTATTGGACAGTTCTCTATTGTAAAAACAGAGAATTTCACTCCTGCCCATTTGTAATTCATAGTTGTTGGTTTTTTTAATCTGACAGTTACACATGATGTCAAGAGAAATAAGATAGTATGTAAGAAAGAGATAATTTTGGAATCTACATACAAAATGCTACAGGAATTTGATAAGGAAGACTTTACATGGGGGAATAGAGCATTTGAAACACACTGAACTGGTAGAGTACTTGTAGTTATGGCTTTACTTTCTGAACACCATGAAATACAGATATAATTTTATCATGTGAATGAGAAAAACTGTCCAGTGTACAATGGGCATTGTCCACCGTGCACCCTCATTATCAGGGGTGTTTAAGCAACTGAAGGATGAGCAGCTGTCAGTGATACCGTAAAAGGAATCCCTCTATAACACTCCTCCTCCACAGAAAATAAATATCACTGATTTTAATAGAAACCTCTAGTCTGCCCATAGTATTTACCGAGTGCCTCTGGAGCCCAACTCTCTAGACAAATTCCTTCTCTACAACCTGTGGCTGTGCAATGCCAGCTACTTTTTCTGGCCTCAGTCTCATAGGGTTGATAGGAAGTGCAATTAAACTGATATTTGCAGAACCCTTAGAAAGTGCCTGAAATGTGGGTGTCATTCAAAAATGCTAGCTTCATCTTTATTATTACTTTTCTCCAATTTTTCCTCCACATGCTGGTAATGATCTTTATAAAATGCAAATCTGTTGTCATCATCACTGAAAAATACCCCAACCATCCTGGTATGACCTATAAAGGTCTGGAAGATCTGGCCCCCATCTCTTCTCCAGCCTCACTTTTAAGCTCTAACTTTAGCAGAATCAAGGCTTCACTGACTTGATAGGATAAACATCAACATCAGCTAGGATTAATGAAAGGGTAGGTCCTGCTTTCTAATGGAATAACAATAAACAAAAACATTAGTTTTGATCAGACATTATGTATAGGTATAAATTAATGAAATAATTAAAGGAATAATACTTGCTACTAAGTATTTAGTATTTACTATTCCAAACCCTATAGTGTTTTATGTACATTATCTCATTCATTCTTACAACACCCCTATGAAGAGTAATATTCATTTTATATGTATTTGATCAATGAGAAAACCAAGCCTCAGAGAAGTCAGGTAGTGCATCTGTTGTCAAAGAACCAAGAAGTAGCAGAACAGGCCTGTGAGTAACCTGCACCTGAACTCTTTCTCATCATGTTCCCATTTAGTGCCTACTAGCTGCCAGGCTCTGTGCCATGTTTTGTCTGTATTAATGTCATTTATACATTATTATCACTGTTTTATATTAAGAAATGGACATACAAAGAGATCATCTGTGTTTCCCCTGGTCTCAAAACTAATAGCTGAACCCAAGATTTGAACTCAGGTCTGCCTAAATCTAAAAAAGCATCTTTTACTATCACCCAGCATCACTGCCCTGTACCTTAAAACGCTGCTTTAGGGGTGCCTGGGTGGCTCAGTCGGGAAAGTGTCTGCCTTGGGTTCAGGTTGTGATCCCAGGATGCTGGAAATAAGCGCTGTGTTGGGATTGAGCGCCACAGAGCAGGGAGCCGGCTTCTCCTTCTCCTTCCCGCTTGTGTTCTCTCTTGCTATCTCTGTCTCTCTCTCAAATAAATAAATAAAATCTTTAAAAATAAATAAAATAAAATGCTGCTTTTGATAAGGAAAATCTGTGTCCTAAGATGGCTGACTGAGCCATCAAGAGAGTCCCAGTCCTTGCTCGGCGCTCTTCCGGGTTCTTCTCCTTGCTCTGCTTTCCTGAGCGCACCAATCCAGGTCCTTCTCCCTGCCCCGCTTTGTGCACGCACCAAAAGGGCCCAGTATGCAGAAGGAGAAGTGTAGAAATTTCCCCCTTTGTGCACGGGGCTCAGACCTTTGGAGATCACTCTCCTCTGAGCCCACCAGCGTCAAATAAACCTCCTATCCTCCAAGATCTCCAGGTGCCGCTTGGTTCTTCTGTCAGGTGATCCAGTCCAGGTTCCATAACACTTTAAATTAACCCCAGGCTACTTGAAAATCCTAGTGAATCACTAGGATGGATTACTTCTAATGTGCATTTGTTTTATTTTTTTAAAACATTTAATTTTGCTATAGAAGACAGAAAAAAAAATAGGATGGCTGAAACCCATAGTTTGTATCAAATTCAAATAAGTAGGTAACAAGTGGGCCCCATGCATGTTAAACATAAGTATAACCAGGCACTAAATATTCATGATACACCTGGGACGCCTGGGTGGCTCAGTTGGTTAAGCCTCAACTCTTGGTTTCGGCTCAGGTCATGACCTCAGGGCCATGAGATCAAGCCTTGCATTGGGCTCTGTGTTCAGCGCCGAGTCAGCTTGACATTCTCGCTCCCTCTCTCTCTGCCTCTCCCCCCACTTGCACTCTCTATCTCTCTAAAATAAATAAATAAAATCTTAATAAATAAATAAATAAATACTCATTATACACCAAATATATGAGGCACAAAATATTCCGATACACAGGAAGTGCTCAATATTCTTGACATCTTAATTCAGCCACTGATTGGTGAAACCCATGCCCACATATCCTGTGCCCAAGAAACTCAGACAAAACCCAAAGCTGTTTAGCAGGCTAACTGGTAAGCTACAGCTGTGACCAGGCATACTTGCCTCCCATCAATATGAGAAAGGAAATGTGTGTCATTGGCCTAAGGCACCTTCTGTCTGTGGGTCTCCTTGCTGCAACCTCATCTCTGGTCTTCACACCCACACTGTCAAGTGGAGAAGACGGATGTGCTTCCACAGGCTTGTGTCATATCCTGTGTGTTAACTTATCCATCTCCTTCCCCTTGCTTCTTAAAATATATTTTTAAAATGATATTATAAACTAAAGAGGTCAAGCATCCTAATCTGGTCGGTGAGTCTTTCTGTCCCATGACCTCTGGGATGGATAGCTTGCTGATAATGTATCACAGGCTACAATCACATCAAGGTAACTTTCTACATGACATCCCTGGAGGGGGGATATGTAATCAACAGTAGCAGCATGTGTCAATTCCAGGCAGGAAGCATGAGTCTTGAGAAAATCTGAAGTGCTCTCCTTACCTCTCCTTTTTCACTCACCTTCCATCAGCCAGAGTTGCTCGTGCCACAGCCCAGGCCACAACAAATGCAGCTGGGAACCCTGCAATCAAAAAGGGATTCAGAAACTGTATTTACTTTAAGATGAAGGGAATTTTTAATCCCATACTCAGCACACATAAGAATATACTATTGAAAGTTGAGACGGCGCCTGGGTGGCTCAGTCGGTTAAGCGACTGCCTTCGGCTCAGGTCATGATCCTGGAGTCCCAGGATCGAGTCCCGCATCGGGCTCCCGCAGGGAGTCTGCTTCTCCCTCTGACCTTCTTCCCTCTCATGCTCTCTCTCTACCATTCTCTCTCTCTCTCTCTCCATAAATAAATAAAAATCTTTAAAAAATAAAAAAACAAAAAAAACTTAAACTTCAAAAAAAAAAGAAAGTTGAGAGAGAAAAACAGAAATGAAAAATGTTGATATCTCAACAAGAAATTCCACTTGGTTTTCATCTTGTCCACTCAAAAAATGAGCCAAGTACATTGCTGTCATTTGTTCCTGAAAGTCTAAAGATAGAAGGTTGGCCCAATTTTCCCTTGAGGGATGTAGGATCAAGCTATACGGGAGGGGAAGGAAGTTCTTGGGGCCAGAAGCAGGCAGCGGCTGGAGCACTGGGCTTTGACTCTTGCCACACTGACAGCTACATGCTTTCAAGGAGAAGTGAAGCAACATGACAGACTTCATGAGGAACAGCAGGGAGGCTGATGTCATATAAAAAATTAGAACTTAGCCATTCTAAAAATGCAAGCCATAGAGAAGCCATACTGAGAAGTTATAAAATTGGGAAGTTTTAATCAGTTTAGCCTCTTCTTTTTGGGGGGTTCATATTGGCTCAAGACAAGCATTTGCATGCATTTAGACCATAGGGAAGGGTGACCGCTATGTGAGTTTGGTGATTTGAGTGTGAGATATGTATCCCTCATAAATGTTAAACACCTCATGAGCTTGCAAAGTCAAATCCATTACACTACTTTCCACAAGTCTGAAAAGGCTGCCCACGGTAAAGGCTGACTGTTCAGTTCATGTTATAGTTGATTGGACTCTGACATCACACACAAAAAATCACAAATCATAACTTTTATGGAACACAACAAAACAGACCAAAGGATTTAATGGACAACTTCTCATTCTGTGGAATTTATGAAAGTGGTTTAAAGAAAGGAAAGAGAGAGCATAATGGAAACACTGCAGAAGTTAAGAAGATACCTTAAAAGGGAGAGAAAAAGTTTTAATCTAACTTAGAACATTTTTTTATTAAGCACAATATTAAATTCTTTACTTTTAAAAACACATTTGTAATTTTTCAAATATTCTTTTTTTAGCAAAAAAGTGAAAAAGAATAGGTTCAGATGAAGAAAAACGCTATTAAAAGTGAAAATAAGATGATACACTGCAATAGAAAATTTTTTGGCTTCCTCAGTGATCATCTAATTGAATTTAACCTCAGCCTGACTGTGTGGCCACTTAATTTCATGATTCCACATTCAAATTTTATTTATTGTTTGCATAGAACATCTAAATTTCAAACATTATAAAAAAATATGTTCAAATTCTATGTTCCAGGAAACTGTTTTTGTCAAAACAGATCTACCAATTCTGGTTATTTCTTAGGTTCAGTTCACATATTTTATCTATCTTTCTATCTGTCTATGTATCTACCCACCTACCTATCCGTCCATCCATCCATCTATCACGTAACCATTTATTAAGTGCCTACGTATGTGTCAAGGATTGTTCTAATTTCAGAAGATAAAACAATAAACAGATCAACACTATCCCTGTTTTTCTGAAGCATATTCTGGAAGGAGATGCAAAATTAATAACATAACTTTGGTTCAGTCAGTGCTATGAATTAAAAACAAGAATGATGCTGTATAATGGAGTAGAGCTCCTTCTGATAGGGTGATTCAAAAGGCCTGATGTAGCTCCCTTTACTGTTCTGCTGCCTTGGCTATCTTTAAAAAGTATCTGTCTTTGATCAGAATTTTCACATTTTCTCATTTCCAGGTCTTTATCTTTTGCTTCCTTTACAAAATCTCCCAATCAAGCAATTTCCTGAATGATGTTCTATACACATTGATCAATGGTGCTTGAGTTGAGGGGCACGTAGGTGGCTCAGTCGTTAAGCATCTGCCTTTGGCTCAGGTCATGATCCCAGGGTCCTGGGATAGAGCCCCACATTGGGCTCCCTGCTCCGCGGGAAGCCTGCTTCTCCCTCTCCCACTCCCCCTGCTTGTGTTCCCTCTCTCACTGTGTCTCTCTCTGTCAAAAAAATAAATAAAAAATCTTTAAAAAAAAAATGGTGCTTGAGTTGGAATTCTGTTTTAGATAATAATTATAACAAACATCTTATATCAGATACCATGTCTTAATGAAATTACTTTTCTCATCATCTTGGAAGACTCTCACTCACAAAACTAGCACAGAGGCAACCACGGAGGAAAAAGAATTAAAACCACTCTGGGATTTAAGGATTTGGCATCACCGAGTCTTAGTACCATATTATTATATAATTTAGAACACATAAATACAGGGGAAAATGTTTGAGATTTAGATGTTATTTTAAGTCTAAGTGCTAATTTAAGTAAATTTAATGTAAATTTGAATGTCACTCAATATATACATTTACCTTGAGAGCTATCTTCATAAAATATCAGTATAAATAAGTGACTCTGAGAGGGAGGCAATCTCTAGTCTAATAATAAGTAGATATGGGTACTCATGTGGCTCCATTACTACTCTCCTTTGAAATGAAGTTTTGGACTAACTAATAGTAGTCAAAATGTTTTAGCAATTAAATCTTTCCTTCAAATAAAAACTTATGCAGCAGCCCACTGCATAAAACAGAGATGCTTTGAAGTCATGGAGGGTAAAAAGGATCTTCTCATCTTGGTCTATGTAGTTTCATCTTGTTTTAGATATTTTAGAAGCTTCATAAAACCATACCTCAGCCTTACCCTCCTCCGGTGGTCCTACTGTAGTATTGTAAAATCACAGGTTGACCATAAAGAGTAAAGTTAGTTCTAAAAATTAGAGACCCATCATGACATAGGATGCCTAGCTTTGCTACAGACATATTGTGTATCTTACCAACCAGAAACCTTGATGCCCCTAGGAATCCATCTGTGTTGACTGCTCAGACATGAAGCTCTAGGCTATGCTTCCAGTTCCCTCACTACTCATCATAGAATGCTGGAATTCAATACCCACCACCTATGTTTCATCCTTTAAGGAACCAAGAAGTACCTCCATATGATTTTGGCAGAATTGTTCTCAACTCTCATGGGACTCTAAGCCAATACTGAATGAGTACAACTCTCTTTCAGGAAAATTGCAAAGCCTATGAAAGTCTTCCATTACAACAAAGAAGAGAGTCTATTTATGAAACTTTAGAAGAGCTACCTCCCCCTGAGATGGAATTGCTACAGGAAACAAAAGAAATATTTTAAAAATATATCTAATTTATAGTCCAAAAAAATGCTCTAGAAGAAGAGTAAGGCATTGTGGGAAAGGACCAGTCTAAAACAGAAGAGCTACAATTAAAAAGAAAATATGTTTACTGAATTAAATATTGCCAGGGGGCAGAAACTTAAAAGATCAAATTGATGGAGATGAAGTGAAATTTTGAAACCAGGTGAACTCACTGAGATAAATCTACATAACTGCTACAAATGTAAATCTAAATGTGACTATATTTGTTTTCTTTTAAAGAGGTAATAATCTATATAATCTTAAATGGTTAGGAGTAAAATCCCAAATTACATCTAAAAAGACTGGGGAAAATGATTAGCAGAAAGATTCAAATTCTGTATCTTTCATAAAGTAGGGTTAAAATATCGATCTTTTATTGACTCTAATTGTTGAATATAATTTTAACTTTATTTTTTTTTTAAAGATGTTATTTATTCATTCATGAGAGACAGAGGGATAGAGAGAGAGAGAGAGAAGCAGAGGGAGAAGCAGGCTCCCAAGGAGTAGGGAGCCTGATGCGGGACTCGATCCCAGGACCCTGGGATCATGACCTGAGCCGAAGGCAGACGCTTAACCATCTGAGCCACCCAGGCGCCCCTATAATTTTAACTTTAAGGCAACATTCAGTAGAACTAGTAATGGCATTAAAACTCATAAGGAAAGGGAGAAATAGCTTTTCTACGTTTTTAAATTTTGCTTGAAGCCAGTTGAAGATTTTTAACTGTGTAAAGGTATTATATTGACTATTCTAAACAATTTTTTGAAGAATAGATCTTGTAAATTAAATATTTTGAATATAATATGTATGATCAGAACAAGGCAAACACAAAACAAAATAACCTACTGGGTCAGACTGCATGCTTATTGTGTGCAGAGACTTCAACACATATCTCTGTATTTCAATTATATTTACTGTCAATGGGATAATCAAAAAATATTTGCTCAATTGAGATCACCTGATACAAATATAATAAAACTGGAAGTGTACTATCTTTTCCTGATTATTTTCAGAGAATACAGAATATGAAAATATTCTACAGGAAAGTCTGGCAACGGTGACATGACTACATGATAAAATCAGGATAAATCACATCATTGGAAGAAAGTATGAAATTGGATTCACTCTAAATTACTCTAGCAAAAGATCACGCAAAGCAGCTATAATGTTTTTTGATCATTGTTTTTCTTAATGGAATTTAGAAAAATGAGTCAGAAATCAAAATGATAATGCTAAAATCAGACTGTCAGTGCTAAGGGAAAAATTGTCTATTAATCAAATAGACTTAGGTATTTATTTCATTAAATAGTAGCTGCATTTAAGTAATGGAGAGATCCTCTTTTTTTAAAAGATTTTATTCATTTATTTATTTGAGAGAGAGAGAGAGCACACATCCATGCACACTCATGAGTGGGGGAAGGGGCAAGGACAGAGGCAGAGAATCTCAAGCAGACTCTGAACTGAGCCTGGAGCCTGATGCGGGGCTCGAGGAAGGACTCACTGGGGGGCTCAACCTCACGACCCTGAGATCATGACCTGAGTGGAAACCAAGAGTTGGACCCTTAGCCGACTGAGCTACCCAGGCACCCCAGTAGTGGGGAGATATTCTTTAGACAATATTACTATAGTTATAGACACCCTAGACCAGAGAATTTTTTTTAATGGAGTTGCAAACAAAGAATCAGAAGGTAGACCAAGTGCGGAACCATAATTCCATAAAGATTGGTTATTAGTGTTTTATATTGTGATTAAGTGTGTGTGGATATATCGCATGTAAAATGTTTTTCTTTTTCTTTTTTTTTTTTAAAGATTTTATTTATTTATTCGACAGAGAGAGTGAGAGAGTACAAGCAGGGAGGAATAGTAGAGGGAGAGAGAGAAGCAGGCTTCCCGCTGAGTAGGGAGCCTGACGCGGGGCTCGATCCCAAGACCCTGAGATCATGACCTGAGCCGAAGGCAGACGCTTAACCATCTGAGACACCCAGGCGCCCCTGTAAAATGTTTTTCAAAGCAAGCTTCCATGGGAAGCCTACTTGCTTTCTTGTTGGTTCTTAAACCATCTGATGACAAGAACCCTTCAAGTAATGATGCTTCTACTGTAGTCATCATTCCAACGCTAAAGTTCTTGTGAACAAATCAATAAATTTGTATAGGAAGGGAAGAAATTCATATGCATACATAAGCTCACTGGACTTTTTTTTTTCATTCTGTTTTTCATAGAAAGGTCTGAAAACTAGTTTCTCAGGTTTAAGTGAGACAAACTCCTGACTTTAAAGAGGAACAGACTGAGTGATAGAGGATGTGAAGAACAAAGGCAAAAGGAAATGTAGATAAAATTAAACTTCTTTATAACTTGCAGCCCACTGACAAATACTTGAGGCAGGCAGAATATGACATTCCTCCAGGAACTCCCAACTGTCTTAATGTTAATGCCTTGCCAAAGGGAAAACACAACCTTAGTTTGACAATAGCTAGGCCCCCAGGATCCTGTAAGTCTTCTTTAGCATATGAAAATCCTTTTGGAAACTTCCTTTGTCTTTACCTCCTCCAACTCCAAAGTATACAATCAATTGCAACGCACAATCCCAGAACAGCTCTGCCTAGGGGTCCTGTCGCTGAGCTTTAATAAAAGCACGTTTTTGCACTGAAAAATGTCTCAAGAATTCCTTCTTGACCATTCACTCAGGAACCCCACTTCAAATCACACCAATAGAGACCAAGTCAGAGTTCTGGGGGAGTGGCTATCAAACCAGTAAGTACATAGAGAAAAAAAGAATTTATTATATATGACCAGTGGTGTAGAAATCCAAAATATAAAATGTAACTCAGACAAATGTCTACATTCATTGTTGAATTTTCTATCAACACCTTTGCCAATTTCTAGTAATTAGGTTGGTGATGTAGGAAAGATGTTAGGGTTCGAAACCGACGGCCAAGAAAGAATTCTTGAGTCTTTGGTGCAAAAAGGTGATTTAATTAAAGCCCGGGGGACAGGACCCATGGGCAGAAAGAGCTGCTCCGGGGTCATGAGGAGCGGCCCATTGTATACTTTCAAGCTGGGAGGGGGTTAGGGACAGCGTAAGTCTCTAAGGAATTCTGGAAGCAAGGTTTCCAGGGCCTTGAGGGGGCTAGCTATTGTTGGGAAAAGGTCATTTATTACCATCTAATAAAACCTTAGTCATGAGACCCTTCAGATGTATCTCAGTGGACCATATGCTTGGGGGATGACTGCCAACATGTATCTTGGGGGGTTCAGAGATAAAGGAAATTCCCAAAGGAATTTTTATACAACAAAGTAGACTTAGAGGATCCTGGAGGATGAGGGGCTTAGGCTAGGATTGCCTTTTGCCCTTAGCAAAGTATTAACACTGAGGCAGTTGAGTCCCTAGGGGAATGTCGCTCTGCCTGTTTCAAGGACTTGTCAATGGGCTGTAGGTAGTAAGGAAATTTAATAATTTTTCTTCTGCCTTTGTTTCCCACATCATTGGTACACAGATATAATTTTGATTTGAAGGCAAACTATCAAAAACTATTCAGGAAATTTCCAAAGTACCCTAAAAAATAAAATATCCTTTTTATGTTTTTAGTAACTGCTAGTCAAAGGGAGAGCTTTAAAACAGACAAGCTGCCTTCAGAAATACAACTTTATTCACAATAATAATTTCATAATAAATGAAATGTTATAGTAAATAGACCCTTTGTCTTCTAAAAGGTTACTCATTAACTAGCAGGAAATGCATTATTCCCTACTCCACATTTTCAAATGTTAAAAAAATAATATTAAAGCCAAACAAACAAAGAAATACTCTTATTTTGGAGGAGAAAAAAAAAGCCCTTCAAATTTAATCCTGAGCCACTCAGTTAATTTTTTTCTTATGCTGAGCCCCTTATAATGTGGATATAAAAATAACAATGGAGATCTGCAATTGTTGATCATGAGGCTTCTTAATTGTAACCACATATGAGTTTCAATTTCTCTTAAATTTGAACAAGCAACATCCTTTCCCCATGTCATGTTGAGTTAGTGCCTAGTCCAGTGTAGTGCTGAGAAGGCATTTTTGGAATGTGAGCTAAATATCCTTTTTTTAAAAATTACTTATGCAGAAAGCAATTTGAATTATTTCCTTCCAAAAGACATGGTCAGTCTACATAATTAGTTTGTAATTTGTATCATTAAATGCAGTCAAGATGATCTTTTAAATTCATTTCTGGTATTCTCATCATACAACCTAAAAATACAAATCAACAATTCATCACTATAGCTTAGAAATTTAAAAATCAAAATATTTAGGATAAAATTATTGCTAAATCAGGACATTGACATAAGACATGAGCGTAGCAGTTCTCAATGTGTTCTCTTATATTTCCACCAAAGAATTCTCTCAACAATCTGACCTAAGAACACTAACCATAAGTTAAAGATGAAAAGTTTGTTACCACTGGGAGGATTTTAGACTTGATCTTAATAACTTTCCCAATGAACAATGGAAGAGAAAGAAAGAGGTATAAAGGTAAGATAGGGAGAGATTTCAGGAAAATGGCTGAAAGTATGCTAATGATAAGTGATACAGGAAAATGTTGGGGTTCGGAGCAAACAGTCAAGATTTGAGACATCTTCTGTGCAAAAAGGTGGTTTTATGAAAGCATGGGGACAGGACCCGTGGGCAGAAAGAGCGGCACTGCGGTTGTGACAGGTGTCTGATGGTACACTTTCAAGTTCAGAGGGGGTTAAGGCTAGCATAAGTCCCTAAGGAATTTTGGAAACATGGTTTCCAGGACCCTGAGGGGGCTAGTTATTGTTAAGAAAAGGTCATTTATTACTGTTTAGTAAAAACTCAGTCCTGAGACTCTTCAGATGAGTATCAGTGGGCCATATGCTTGGAGGATGATTGCTAATGTGTATCTTATGGAGTAGAGATAAAGGAAGTTTCCAAAGGAATTTTTATATGTTAAAGAAGACTTACAGGATCTTGGAGTCAGCATAATGTTAAGCTAAGATTGTCTTTTGCCCTTAGGAAAGTGTCAACATCAAGGCAGCTGAGTTCCTAAAGGAATGTCACTCTGCCTGTTTCAACGACTTGTCAATGGGCTGTAAGTAGTAAGGAAATTTAATTTTTTCTTTTGCCTTTGTTTCCATCAGTAGGTTTAACAGAAATCCATAATCCAGTTTAAAGGGAAAGGAAACAAAAATACCTTACCCCAGCCTATCAAGATGAAGCCCCACAGGTATTTGGTGTCCGAAAAGAACGCCACAAAGATTAGACTATGCAGGTAGAGACCTTCCACCAAGATCCAATAGTAATTTGTAGCCAAGAAGTAAATGAACATCACAACAGCAATCTTGCACCCAATCTGTTACAAATAAACCAGAATTGCATCATTTTAGAACTCTTAATTATACTACATGCAACAGACCATGAAAAAGTAGTTCTGTATTTCTTTTTTATGATCTGTTTCCTGTATGTAGGAAAGCCAAGAGTGTTGAATGAGACCAGAACAAAGTTATTTTAAGACAACATCTCTAAGACTATGGGCTCAATTCTGTTTTTAAAATAAGATATTTTTCCTTTAGAAGTTACCAAAAAAAACACTTTTCTTTGATTTTTCCTATTTATGAAAATAATACTTGATCATCAGAGAAAATTAGAAAATACAGAAAAGCATAAAGAAGAAAATAGTAGCCATTATTCTACCATGATTTTATTTTATTCTCATCTTTCTTATGCCCCAAAAGTCAATGGCTAAAATAATAAGCATTTACTACATCTTATGAACCTATGCATTGGCTCAGTGATTCTGCTGATCTGGGCCAGCCTCCGCTAATCTTGGCTAGGCTCATTCACAGAGCTCTACCTTTCACTGGCACACCGTCACTTCCATTTCATTCTGTGGGATAAAACAAGTCACCAAAACCAGCACAGAATCAGAATCAGCAGGGACTACAAAGTTACAGGGCAAAGGCCAAAGCCACAGAAAGGGCATTAATTCATACTATCAAGACATATAATCTCTTATACTTAATTCCCAGATATAGCACATCAGTGATCTAATTAACTGAATTACTGAGTGATTCTATTTAGTAAATAACACCAGGACATTTCAGAGCAGAATCAAGTACCCTGGAATCTTATATTGGAACAAGTCTGAATCTAAAGTAAAGAAGGTAAATGTTGTGGGCTTTAAAATAACACACTTCTGGTTTTGCAAGTGGGCTCTTTACTTTTGAACATGGTAAGCCATGAAAGCTAGTATGAGCTCCATCCACATCAAATGCACTCCAGTCAGGTGATTTTTGAAGTTTCCATGCCAGAATGTTCTTATGGAAAGAGCTCAAGACTTTTAATAGTCTAAGATGATGAGTAATTAGGCGTAAAGTTTAAGGACAGAATTGAGGTAGTAAATATCATCATATAAATTAGTCATCTATCTTGGTTAATTCAGAGATTACATAAGCCAAAACAAGTTAAGATTTAGTGGCCTGTAAGATTTTAGTTGTCTGTAATGTTATAGGAATCAGTAATGAGAGAAAATGGTGAAAATACTTACATATTTTGATTTGTCCACAGAAGGCATTTCTATGGAATTTTGTAGGTCATCCTGCATCAACAGGGACTGCAGCTCCTTCACTCCTATGTGAGCATGGACCACTTTGTCCTTGACAAAGATGCTTACAGCTCTCAGCATGAAAGATACAAACAAGTGCATGTGGATATAGTTCCTAGTGCAATGCAATCGTCTATGGAGAGAAAATATTCAGTATTTAGATTTGGATGAAATTAGACATAGGTAAAGAAAATACATAAATGTAACAAAAAAGAAGAAAGTATAGTAAGCCTGAACAAAGACAGAAACCCATTACTATCTATTTCCAATTGAAACAACTGGGATCAAAAACTAAAATGTAACTCTTTGAGAAATAATTTCAAATTTAACCTGATCTACTACTGTATTTATCCCGATTTTGCAGAGTTAACAATTGTGCTATATTAAACTAAAGCATTATACTAAAATATATATTAAAGTAATAATTAATAAGTAATAAGTAATGACTACTGGAGAACCATTTTGAAAAGGGATAAATATTATTTAAAAATGGAGCTTTCAGGGGCACCTGGGTAGCTCAGTCAGTTAAGCGTCTGCCGTCAGCTCAGGTCATGATCCCAGGGTCCTGGGATCGAGTCCCACATTGGACTCCCTGGTTAGTGGGGACTCTGCTTCTCCCTCTCGCCCTGTTCCTGTGCTCTCTCTCTCTCTCTCTCTCTCACTTGCCCACTCTCTCTCAAATAAATAAATAAAACCTTTGAAAAAAAAAAGTGGAGCTTTCACATTTTCAACACATACTCTACAAGAAAAAGTAAATATTTTGATAACACTACACAACTTTATGTCCTAGTAATGTTAAAGAGTAAACAAGCTTACTTTAACATAAAAATCTTGGGTTTATAAAAGAATCTTAGACACAAGTTAAACCATAACATACATAGGAGTAGATATAGTATTACTAATTTCCTGTACAAAAAGCTAACTCCAAAAGATATCTTTTCTTAAAAACACTCTTAAGAAAGGATTGTAGAATCTGGCCCAGCTCTACCATTGCTTGACTGCAAGACAGGGCAGCTTTCCTGTACAATGATCACCCTATTACTACTTCTCTTCCAGGAAGGACAAAGTACATAAGTGTAAGAGAGTAAAAAATTTTTAATCCAATAATATATTTTTACATTTCATAATATAGTAGGTGTAGGCCAACTGAGAATGAGCTAAATTTAGACATTTTGGAAATGTTATTTTGTCAGTATGGTGGGGGCATGTATACATGTCCATTGTGCCCAGACAGTCCTCCTCATTAATCAATTCCTTTTGGGGAGTGTCTTCACAGGTGAGTGGGATTTGACCATATAGGGTTATCAGGTATCTGTGGAAATTATTGACTGTGAATAGTGATATCACAGTATATAAGTAGGTATTGATTTTTAGAAGACTCAACACTATTTATTATCTTAATAAAAAAGTATTTTGTTTTGTGAAACAGAAGAGTTTCTGAAATTTTTGTGTAACATTCTGCTATATAGTATAGTAATTATATAAAAAGTATTATAGAAAGAATTTGTTAAACAGAGTGATAAATTACTATGTAAATTGAAGAATTACTACTTAGTGATTTGTATCCTCCTGAAACCTTATGTAGCTTTTTTTCTCATAAATACTCAGCTATCATTCTGAACAACCAGAGCTACACTTAGTATAATGGAATGAACTCCGGATAGGAATTGGAAGATGACGGTTCTGTTTCCAGCCATACCACCTATGACTTTGTGACCTTGGACACTGAACTTCAGTTTCTCGGTCTGTAAAATAGGATAATACTGCCAAGCCAATTTCACAAGGCTGTCTTGAGGAACCCCTCCATAATTCCACAAATCTGTGTTTCCCTTCTACTTTAAAAACTTCATTAGCTCCCTATTCTCTACCATTACACGATAAAATTCAAAGCCTTTGACAAAGACGGGCAAAACCAGTGCCACAAAATCTAGTTTCTTCCTAGTCATTCCTATATGGCCACTCCATCCTATGCACCAAATGCTGCATTCATATGGGACTCTTCTGTGTTCCCAGAGTCTATACTGCTCCTTCCTAACTCTCAGTTTTGCACATTCTGTTCCCATCATCTGGAATATACTGAATTCCTTCTCATCATTGCAACATCAGTTCACATGTCAGTGTTTTCTGGGAAGTCTCTCTCTCTCTTATCTAGTCAGTTTTAGCCCCCTTGTTGTTCCCAAAACCCTTTATAAAAGCCTGTATTATAGTATTAACAATATTTTATTTGATAATCATTTAATGAGTCAGTCTCTCATATATACTGCTTTTCTTTTTTTTTTTTTAAAGATTTTACTTATTTATTTGAGAGAGAGAGAGAGCATGAGAGAGGGGAGGTCAGTGGGAGAAGCAGACTCCCTGCTGAGCAGGGAGCCTGATGTGGGACTTGATCCCAGGACTCCAGGATCATGACCTGAGCTGAAGGCAGTCGCTTAACCAACTGAGCCACCCAGGCACCCTATACTGCTTTTCTAGTCTGTAACATATCTTAATTTGTCCTCCATGAATACTAAAAAGAGTCTATCATATATGGTAGAGAAAAAGCTTGTTGTGTCAATGGACTAGTGAATCAATAAAGAAAAAGTTTTGGATATATAAACTATACTGTCATAAGATGAGTAATCGCTTTAAAAGAAGTAGTTGGAATATTAAACTAGTCATTTATTTATTAATTCAACAAATATTTATTAAGCATCACTATATATCAGGTACATTACAACCACTAAGAATGCTACAATGAGCAAAAAATAAATAAATAAATAACTATTCTCATGTGGCTTTACATTCTAGAGGGAGAGATAAAAAATAAAAAGAAATAAACAAAATAAAAAGATAAGTAAAACATCAGATAGTACATTAGATAGTGATAAATCCAAAGAGAAAAACAGCGAAAAGAGGTAGAAGAAGTTTCAAAGAAGAGGGGATTGTAAGATGATAGGAAACAAAATATAAAACATTCTGTTTTTTAAATATGTCATCTACCCCCCTTCCTTTTCCCATGTATAATTTAGCACTAAATTCCTAAAATTGTATTGTCTTAATTAATATACCTCAAGATCTTCCCTTTCTATCCAATCCTCAAACCCACTGCCCTTGGCCAGGCCACCATCTTCCTGTCCTGAGTTACTCTAACAGCCTCTTCCAAATGGGCTTCCTATTGTGCTTCCCACCAACTCACACTCCACCTCACAAGTGACTTTCATGTCATTCTTCTGCTTAAAATCCTTCAATGGCTCCTCATCACTCTTAGGGTAAAGTTCAAATTTCTTCATATAACCCACAGGTCTCAAAACATTCTCAACCCTGCTTACCTCTCCAGTCTCACTGCCCATCACTTAGCTGCACCAAAACTCTGCAGTCTGAAACATTCCATGCTTTTGATCTAAACTTAGGTTTGGAATTCTGTCCCCCAGTATTCTCTTTTGGTTAAATCTTATTTATAGTCATGCATCTTTTGAGATTTCACTTCATCCCCATACTCTGCCTTCCCAATTACCATACACCACCTGAATCACACCATTTCTCACACTGTACACTGTTTTCTCAGATATGTGTATCACAAACCAGCTGCAAGCATCCTGAGTACGCATTTCCCATACATGTTGTGCACTGTGTTTTGTTTTGTCTTTAAAGATTTTATTTATTTATTTGACAGAGAGAGATACAGCAAGAGAAGGAACACAAGCAGGGCGAGTGGGAGAGGGAGAAGCAGGCTTCCTTGCGAGCAGGGAGCCAGATGCGGGGCCCGATCCCAGGACCCTGGAATCATGACCGGAACCGAAGGCAGACGCTTAATGACTGAGCCACCCAGGCGCCCCATGTTGTGTACTGTTTTATCTCAATATTGGTGCTCAAAATTTTGTACTGATTTACATTAAATTGAATTGAATTGGTCAAAAGTTTCAGTGGAAAAAAATAAACCATAACAGAAGCAATAAATACAACTTTAGATACAATATCAGATCATTTGGGAGATTATTTAAAATGAATTTCTGTCCAATGGCACCAAAATCATTTGGGAAGAATGAAGTCTTTGCATCATGAATGAAAATCTTTGTAGCTCATTCTGCTCTACTCTGCAGCCTTTTGCAAACAAATACACTGTAGTGCAGATCTAGAGGCTTAATGGTTTCATACTGCTTTGATATTTTTGAACATTTTTTTAGTTTTTAAACAATAAAAACCCTGAATTTCCTCATGAAAAATAAATTTTCAAAGCCAAATAATATTATAACACTAGGCTGAATTCAAAAACTTGTGCTGGGAAAAGTATTTGGGCCAGAAATTGTGAGACCTCTGTGTCTTCTATGCGTAGGACACAGAACCTGTCCCTTCATGGAGAAAGGGATTGGGAATCACTCACCTGAAGTAACCAATGATGAGAATAGCCCCAGCCAAGGAACCAAAGGAGACAGAATATCCAATTGTGTACATGACATAGAGGCGTTCAAAGAATTCTTGCTGAAGGGGAAGAGATTTAATTAGAAAAATAGCTTTTTTTAACAAGTAGATGTAGATAAACCTAAAAATCATGCTTCTTCCTGTTTAGAGACGGGCAGTGTGTTATCACATTTATATAACATAGATTATTCATCCGGCCTTTCTTTTATTTCCTAAATTCCAGTCAGAGGGTTTGGTTTTTTTTTTAAGATTTTATTTATTTTTTTGAGACAGCGAGATTGGTGGGGGGGCATGAGCAGGACGAAGGCACAGGGAGAAGCAGGTTCCCCGCTGAACAGGGAGCCCAATGAGGGGCTTGATCCCAGGACCCTGAGATCATGATCTGAGCTGAAGGCAGACGCTTAACCAAATGAGCCACCCAGACACCCCTCAAGTCAGAGTTAAAGATGTAATAATAATAATAATATTCAGCATTTCTTGCTTAAGTGAGGTCAAATTAAATATTGCAATATTTATTTAGTGAATTTTTGCACTGTCCATTTTAATTAATTGAAATTGTATACCTAATGTGATAGTTGAAGTAAACAAAACGTGTTACAGGGCTATTGTAAGAGGAAACTAGTAAAAACAATATGTCATTTTTCAAATATTATTTCTAGTTTTCCTTAAGTTTTTTATTGAGCTGTAATTTACATGAAATAAAACATACAGGTCTCAAGTGAGCACTTTGATGGGCTTTGACAAGCCATGTTTGCTGTGCACCTTGCCAGCCAAAAAACCACCCAGCATTCACTCCCAGGTAACTACTGTTCCAATTTCTGTCATCACAAACTGGCAGCATCTGTTCATGTACTTCATGTACTTTTTGACTGTTCTTAAACTTCTTAGAATTAGATAGTATATACTTAGTATATACTCTTTTTGGCAACATACTGTTTTTGATATTCACCATTATTGTTACATGAATCAATGGTCCATTCCTTTGTAATTTTTAAAAATAATTATAAATTCACAAGAACTGGAAAAGATAGTAAAAAAGTACCATTTATCCTTCACCCAGTATTCTCCAATGGTTACATCTTAACATAATTATACTAAAATATCAAAGGCAGAAATTTGACATGGTGCACTTTGTGTGTTTATAGTTCTGTGTCATTTTATCACATATGTAAATTTTTGTAACCAGCACTGCAGTCAAGATACAGAACCATTGTATACCACCTTGAAGACCTGCCTTGTGCTGTCCTTTAAAGTCACCCATAGACCCCTCTTCCCCAGCATCCCTGACACCTAGCAACCATTAATGTTTTCCACCTCTATAATTTTGTCACTTCATAAGTGTTATAGAAATGGAATCATACAGTATGTGACCTTTTGAGACTGGCTTTTTTCACTCACAATAATGACCTCAAGATCCATTCAAGCTGTTGTATAGATCAAGTTTGTTCTTTTTTATTGCTGAATACTATTGCATGGTATGTATGTAACCTATGTATATCAGTATATATAAAATGTTTCAAACTTTGTAGACAGCTTACATTTGGGTCAGATTTTCTAATAGATTTTTCAATCTCTGTTAATTGGTATAATTAGACCATTTTTTAAATATAATATTGATATGTTAAGGCTAAGTCCATCATTTTATCTTTCTATTTTCTATCATTCTATTTTTCATTTCTCTGTTTTATTTTTCCTGCCACCCTGTGTGTTACTTGAACATTTTGTAGAATTCCATTTTGATGTCCCTTTTTGTATAGTGCTTTTGGTGGTTGATCTATGTATTACATTGTACCATTAATGTGGAGTCTTTGACTACTGAATGCTTACCTTTCTTCTTTTCTAATTAAGCTATAATTAAGCATATAATGAAACTATAATCTAATCAAGCATATGATAAGCTATAAATCTCCTTCTAAGCTCCGCTTTTGTTTCCCCCAATTTTTTGATATATTCAACTTTCATAATTATTCAGTTCAAATTTTTGCCATGGATGGCATATATTCCAACAATTTGTGAATTGTCCACATATTTTATTTCAATTGATTTTCAATTAATTCTTCTGTGGTCAGAAAATACACTCTGTATGATTTTAATCTTGAGGTTTATTGACACTTGTTTATAGTCCAGCATATGTTCAATCTTGAAGAAGATTTGATGTGTAATTTAAAAGAATGTGAATTTTGTGGTGTTTGTATTCTATAAATGGCATTTTCATCAAATTGTGTGAAAGGTTATCCTATGGAAGTTTTGTCTAATTGTTTTACCAATTACTGAGAGAATGGTATTTTTATAAATTTCAACATGGTAGGATTTGATCATGTCTCCCTTTTGCTTTGACAATTTTTGCTTTATGCAATATGAAGTTCCTAAACGCATGCATATGTAGGATCATTATTTCTTTCTGGTAAGTGGATTCTTTTACCATTCTGATATGTCCCTCCAACTTAGTAATACCCTGTCTTGAAGTCTACTTAGCCACAGCCATTTTCTTATGCTTAGGGTAAGCACTGCATATAACTCATCCACCCTTTTAATTTCAACAAATCTATGATCTTCATATTTATCTGTATCTTTATATTTAGAGTACATTTCTTGCAGACGGTATATACTTAAGTTACACATTTATTACCCATTCTGTCTTTTAAGTGATTGTTTAGTTCATTTACATTGAACACAATCATTGCTATGTTGGGTTTAAATATAACACATTGGTATTGGCATTCTAGATGTCCTATCTTTGTTCCTTTGTACCTACTTCCTTACCTTTTATTTGGGGGGTGGTGTCAATTAAGTATTTCTTAATCTTTCACTTGTATTAATTTTTAGCAATTATGCATCCTGAACTTACCAGAGCCTCCACTTAAATAATATTGAACTATTTCACAAACTACATAAAAAGTTTACAAATGTATACTCAATTTTGCTTCCCAGCCTTTGCCCTTTTAGATTTTGTCTACATAGTGCTCACTTCAGCAGCACATACAAGAGATTTTGTCTACATAATTTATAAACCTTAGTAAGAGACTACTATGTGTGCTTTAAGCAGTCAATAGACATTTAAATGAATTATAAAGATATAAAGATAGATGTAAGTACAGTAGTAAATAAGGATGATAAGAATACAGTTTTGTTTATTATTTTAGTCTGTCATTTTTATTCATATATATATGAATATATATCATATATCATATGATATCATATATCATATATATATATATATATATATATATATGCGCACACACACACACCCATTCTGGTCTTCCTCATTCCTTCCTACCAATCTATGTTCCCATCTGGCATATTCTTCTTTGACCTAGAGAACTTTCTTGAGCATTTCCCATACTGAAGGTATGATGAAGATGAATTCTCTCAGATGTTTTCTGTCTGAAAAGTATCATTATTTTCCCTTTATCTTTATGCATATTATCACCTTAAAGATGTCATCCCATTATATTCCAGCCTCCGTTGTTTCCTGAGTAAAAGGCAGACATCTTCTTTATTGCTGTTCCCTAATATGCCCTTTTTCTCTGTCCACTTTTAAGTTTTCTTTTGACTGTGATTTACAGCAGTTTAACTATGATATATCTAAGTATGATTTTCTTTTAATTATCCTGCCTTGGGTTTCCTAAAAATCTGGAACATACAGGTTGATTAATTTCATCCATTTAGAAAATTCTTGGCCATTGTCTCCTCAAATATTTATTTTGTCCAGTTCTCTCTTTTTACCTCTAATTTCACATGTGTTAGACAATTACATGTTGTCTCACAAGCCTCAGATGCTTCCGCTATTTTAATTTATTTTTTCTCCTAAATAAATTAAAATATTTTTAATATTCAGTTGGAAAATTTCTACCGACCTCTTTTTAAGGGCATTAATCCTTTATCATGCTGTATCTAGTATGCTATTGAGCATATTAAATGAATTCTTCATTTTTGAATTGAATATTTCAATTTTAGAATTTCTATTTTATTATTTTTTGAAGTTTTTATTTCTCTGATTTTCCCATCTGTTTTATGTACCTTTTTCACCAAATCATCTAACATATTTATAATAGTTATTATTAAGTACTTATCTGCAAATTCTAACATCCGGATCATCTAGTTTTTTCTGCTCTTATTTTTACTCCAGATTTTGGGTCCCTGCCTTTTAATTTTGTATCACATTCCAGGCCCTGTAAGTAAAAGAATAGTAGAGACTGAAGTATATGATGTCAACTGCCTGAAAAGGCAGACCTCATCCTCCGTCAGGTTTCTTGGGTAAGGAAGCTGGATTACTTTGTTGTTAAACTAAGTTGAGCTTTGTTGTAGTTTTTGTCTCACGTTTTTTGTGATCCTGGTTTTGCGTTTTGAGAGCAGAATCAAGACTCCTTCAGCTGACCTCAAGATTTTAGCACTAGCAGCCTCTAGTGGCCATTATATGGATTTTAGTCCACCTGACATTTTCCAAGCCATAGAACTTTTGCGGCTATTTGAACTATCCATCAGTTTTTTGAGTTGCTAGGGATTTTACTTTGCTTTCCTGCCCCTCCCTGGCATGTGGGCTGTAGCAATCATGCACCATGTGCCTTAAAGTATGTCTCTCAGATCCTCTACTCTGTCCCATGACTTTGGCTAACTGCCGCCTTTCACTCTGAGAGTACTTTGCACCTCTTGGGAAATTTCTCTTAGCCCACCTGCGCTGTCCCCAGCCTCTGGCACATGGCCTCCATGCACTCAGTGAAGGCCCCATAGGGAAAAATTGTCTGGTGGGTGATGGTTCACTGTGAATGGGGCTCACTACTTGGGATTCTAAGCCCGTATGCTAACCCTTGTCTGTTAAAAGTTGGTTTAAGGGGCACCTAGGTGACACAGTTGGTTAAGCAACAGACTCTTGGTTTCAGCTAAGTGATCTCAGGGTCTTGGGGTCCAGCCACGCGTCTGGCTCAGCAGTCTGCTTCAGGATTCTCTCTCTCCCTCTGCACCCCACCCCAGCTCGCTTATTCTCTCTCTCAAATAAATAAATAAATCTTAAAAAAAAAAAAAAAAACTATTGGTTTAAGAGCCTGGCTCTTTTCTTTCTATCCCCTTCTATGACCTGGTTGTTCCTCTTCTGCTACAGACCCAGGGATTAATAGCAGTCATGGGTCTCTTCTCTTATAGGAAGGGCCTGCCCACTTCTAGAATTAGGATCGTTTAGACTTCTTGGCATCCTCAACTCACTGATGAGTTATTACAAATTGCTGATTTTGCATCTTACTCAGTTACTTTTCCTAACTGAAAGCAAAAGATTTTGCCTCTTGTTCCTTTAAAAAAAATTGGGGCACCTGGGTGGCTCAGTCGTTAAGCATCTGCCTTCGGCTCAGGTCACAATCCCAGGGTCCTGGGATCGAGTTCCACATCGGGCTCCCTGCTCCGTGGGAAGCCTGCTTCTCCCTCTCCCACTCCCCCCCTGCTTGTGTTCCCTCTCTCGCTGTGTCTCCCTCTGTCAAAGAAATAAAATCTTAAAAAAAAAAAACTGTTTACTACATATTCTTACCAGTTAATAAAATACTAAAACTTTTTATAGAAAATATTTGGGGGTGCCTGGGTGGCTCAGTCAGTTAAGTGTCAGATTACTGGTCTCAGCTCAGGTCTTGATCTCAAGATCACAAATTCAAGCCCCATGTTGGGCTCCACGCTGGGTGTAGAGTCTACTGGAAAGGAAAGAAAGAAAAGAAAGAAAAGAAAGAAAGAAAAGAAAGAAAAAGAAAGAAAGAAAGAGAGAGAGAGAAAGAAAGAAAGAAAGAAAGAGAGAGAGAGAGAGAAAGAGAGAAAGAAAGAAAGAGAAAGAAAGAAAGAAAGGGAGAGAGAGAGAAAGAGAGAAAGAAAGAGAGAGAGAGAGAGAAAGAGAGAGAGAGAAAGAAAGAGAGAGAGGAGAGAAAGGGAGAAAGAAAGAAAGAAAGAGAGAGAAAGAAAGAAAGAAAGAAAGAGAAAAAGAAAGAAAGAAAGAAAGA